TGTGCCTCTTCCTTCCTGCCCCTTGTACCTTACCTTCCTTCCCCTTTGTACCTCTTCCTTCCCCTTGCACTCTTCCTTCCCCTTTACCTCTTCCTTCCCCCTTGTACCTCTTCCTTCCCCTTGTACCTCTTCCTTCCCCTTGTACCTCTTCCTTCCTTCCCCTTATACCTCTTCCTTCCTTCCCCTTGAACCTCTTCCTTCCTTCCCCTTGTACCTCTTCCTTCCCCTTGTACCTCTTCCTTCCTTCCCCCTTATACCTCTTCCTTCCTTCCCCCTTGTACCCCTTCCTTCCTTCCCCTTGTACCCCTTCCTTCCCCCTGTACCTCTTCCTTCCCCCTTGTACCTCTTCCTTCCTTCCCTTGTATCTTCCTTCCTTCCCCTTATACCCTTCCTTCCCTTCCCCTTGTCCCCTTCCTTCCTTCCCTTGTACCTCTTCCTTCCTTCCCCCTTATACCTCTTCCTTCCCTCCCCCTTGAACCTCTTCCTTCCTTCCCCTTGTACCTCTTTCTCCTTCCCCCTTATACCTCTTCTCCTTCCTTCCCCCTTGTACTCTTTCCTTCTCCCCCTTGTACCTCTTCCTTCCTTTCCCTTATACCTCTTCCTTCCTTCCCCTTGTACCCCTTCCTTCCCCCCTTGTACCTCTTCCTTCCTTCCCCTTTTTCTTCCTCCTTCCCCTTGTACCTCTTCCTTCCCCCTTGTACCTCCCTTCCATCCCCTTGCCTCTTCCTTCCCTGTACCTCTTCCTTCCCCCTTGTACCTCTTCCTACCCCTTGTACCTCCTTCCTTCCCCTTGTACCTCTTCCTTCTTCCTTCCTTCTCAACCCCTTGTACCCCTACCTTCCTCCCCTCCCTCTTCCCCCATCTTTCCCTTCTTCTCTCCCTCTTCCATTCCTTCCCTCTCCACTTCATTCTTTCTTTCTCCTCTCATTATCTCCTCTCCTTCTTTCTCTCCCTTTCACTCCCTCCTTCCCTCCCTCTACCCTTCTCCATACCTTCCCTCTTCCATCATCTCTTTCTCCCTGCCACTCCCCACACAACCCACCAACCCCCACAACCCACCCACCCCACACCCCACCCCTCCCCCACACCCCACTCACACCCCAACCCCTCTCCCACCCCAACCCCTCTCCCACCCCACCCCCCACACCCCACTCTCCCACCCCACCCCCAACCCCACCCCTCTCACACCCCACCCATCTTTCACGTCGTAATTAATTGTCGTAATTGAGGAAATGCCATGTGGTCACGTGACTCTTGTAGAGGGTTGGTCACTGGGAAAGATGGATTGAAGCTTAAACAGATGGATTCAGCTTGATTTGTGAGGACAAGTGGATGGATTGCAAAAGAAGCTTGATTTGAGTTAAATGGATCATGAACGTAATGTATCCAAACATCAATGGCCCTGAAGAGAGAGAGAGAGAGAGAGAGAGAGAGAATAAATAGAAACACAAATAATGGACAGTAGAAAAGAGAGAATGAATAGATGAAGAATTGAAACAAGAATATATATATATATATATATATATATATATATATATATATATATATATATATATATATATATATATATATATATATATATATACATACACACTCAAACGTACCCTCCAAGCGGCTCATCACACGGTAGGACGCCTCCCGAGGCTCCACATTGTCTCCTGTTCAGTCCCCAAGCTTCTTCCATCAATAGTTCATTAATGTGTATGTAAGTTCCACCATGTTTTCACTACAAAAGTACAGCAAAGTATATTATTTTAGCATTAAACTGTTATTATTTATTGTCTAATCATCACTACATATAACAACATCCATCATCACTACATTTAACATCATCAATCATCACTATATTTAACATCATCTATCATCACTACATATAACACCATCCATCATCACCACATATAACACCATCCATCATCACTACATATAACACCATCCATCATCACTACATATAACAACATCCATCATCACTACGTTTAACATCATCTATCATCACTACATATAACACCATCCATCATCACCACATATAACACCATCCATCATCACTACATATAACACCATCCATCATCACTACATATAACACCACCCATCATCACTACATATAACACCACCCATCATCACTACATATAACACCACCCATCATCACTACATACACCAATCATCATCACTACATATAACACCATCCATCATCAATAATATAACACAAATCATCATCACTACATATAACACCATTCATCATCACTACATACACCAATCATCATCACTACATACACCAATCATCATCACTACATACACCAATCATCATCACTACATATAACACCATCCATCATCACTACATATAACAACAACCATCATCACTACATATAACACCATCCATCATCACTACATATAACACCAATCATCATCACTACATATATCACCATCCATCATCACTACATATAACACCACCCATCATCACTACATATAACACCATCCATCATCACTACATATAACACCAATCATCATCACTACATATAACACCATCCATCATCACTACATATAACACCAATCATCATCACTACATATAACACCAATCATCATCACTACATATAACACTATCCATCATCACTACATATAACACCATCCATCATCACTACATATAACACCAATCATCATCACTACATGTAACACCAATCATCATCACTACATATAACACCAATCATCATCACTACATATAACACCAATCATCATCACTACAAATAACACCACCCATCATCACTACATATAACACCATCCATCATCACTACATATAACACCATCCATCATCACTACATATAACACCAATCATCATCACTACATATAACACCAATCATCATCACTACATATAACACCATCCATCATCACTACATATAACACCATCCATCATCACTACATATAACACCATCCATCATCACTACATATAATACCAATCATCATCACTACATATAACACCATCCATCATCACTACATATAACACCATCCATCATCACTACATATAACACCAATCATCATCACTACATATAACACCAATCATCATCACTACATACACCATCCATCATCACTACATATAACACCAATCATCATCACTACATATAACACCATCCATCATCACTACATATAACACCATCCACCATCACTACATATAACACCATCCACCATCACTACATATAACACCAATCATTATCACTACATACACCATCCATCATCACTACATATAACACCATCCATCATCACCACAGATAACACCATCCATCATCACTACATATAACACCATCCATCATCACTGCATATGCTGCCATCATCACTACATATAACACCATCCATCATCTTTCATAACATCATCCATCATCACTACATATAACACCGTCCATCATCACTACATATAACGCCACCCATCATCCTACATATAACACCACCCATCATCGCCATGTAATCGTCCGTCGTCACTGCATAGCACCACCCATCGTCACTGCATAACACCACCCATCATCACTGCATATGGCGTCATCCGTCATCACTGCATATTTACCACCCATCGTCACTACAGCGCCGACGCGTCTATCATCACTACATATAACACCATCCATCGTCACTACATATCGCGCAAATCACCATCCATCACTTTCCATATAACACCATCATCACTACATATAACACCACCCATCATCACTACATATAACACCATCTATCATCACCACATATAACTTTCTGCCTGCCATCCGTCACCACACCGCCAACACCATCCATCATCACTACATAAACACACCCATCATCACTACATATAACCTGCCATCCATCATCACTACGCCGCACCATCCATCACCCTACGCATACCGCGCCATCATTCCATCACTCACATAACACCATCCATCGTCACTACATACTCTTCCGTCATCATCACTACATATAACACCATCCATCGTCACCGTATAACGCAATCCATCGTCACTACATATAAGCTTTATACTTCATCGTCACTACATATAACACCATCCATCCGTCACTACGTATAACACCATCCATCATCACTACGCCTGTACCATCCATCATCCACTGCATATAACACCGTCTATCATCTACATATAACACCACCCATCATCACTACATATAACACCATCCATCATCACCTACATATAACA